GGGACAGTAGATAAATATAGAGAAATCAGGCAAGAAAGGAGCTAGACATGAGAGCAGAATAGAAGCTGTGTAGAGAGAGAACTATCACAGAATAATAAAGTGCATGAACTAAGGAGTTTTGTGTACATAGATTCATTTCTTTTTATCAAAGATTAATTATCACCTGCTTGTAGATTCTTCCCAGACCCTGGGAGGGGACTATCGAGGGGCTGGACGCCCCAAGTCCCCGTTACAACCACATACTGCCCACAGCATCCCGGTACCCAGCTCCATGGAGGGAAAGTTCTGAAGTTAACTCTCAGGCTCTGAATCTGTCAACAGTACGAGCTGGGGTCTTCATAGCTTCACAGCCCATCCAAACTGGGTCTCCACCAGGTGGGTCCACGGGACTCTGTGACCTCACACAGATCCACTCTGGCCCCACAGAGATGGCCACATTTGCTGCAAAACCATCCCACTTTGCCTCCAGCATACAGTATTCTACCCTTGGTCTCTCCTCCAGGCTGCTGCTGAGACAGGTTTAAGCCTGACAGTGATAGTTGGCTGCTTCCAAGCAGCAGTGTGCGCGTGCACACGCACGCACGCACGCACGCACACGTGCAAGCACAAGATTGTCTTGGATCTTGTTAGAAGGCCACTTGGATCTAGCAGCTTGGAGTTGGGCTTGAGATTCCACAGTTCCAATGTTCCACGCTATAGCAGCTGCTGGGTGCATACCCCAAAGGGTCCTGGGCCAGAGGCTCTCCACGCTGGTGGCACCTGACAATCACCCAGAGGGAGGCTAAAACCTCTACAACTGGTCCCACCCTGCACCAATCCAATTGGAACTGTAAGGGCAAAAGTTGACCTGTCAGCCCCACTTGCCCAAGGCCAAGTAATTCGCTGGAATGCTGGGGGCTGTTGTTCATGTACGATAACCAGTCACGTGTCTTCACTTCAGGAAACAAGGTTGGTTGGTTGCCCTAGCAGCACATGATGTGCTTGGTCAGACTAAGGCAGGAGGTACGGAGGCAGGGAGTACATCAGGATGTATGCTTGCCCCCGCCCCCACATTGCATGACAGCAGGAATTACTGTAGGTTTGTGGGTTCTGCCTTTATGAGCGCCTGGCTAACCTAATTCAGCACCATTTTCTGGGAATCCTGGGTATGGACCTGGCCAGTGTCCATCTTCCTGGACAGTATTTAATAAAGCTTGCTGCAGTCGGATGATCCTAGACTTGGTTTGTCTGCTTGCCATTTTCAGGTTCAACAGAATCTCTGGGGTTAGGGCCCAGGGGGGCAATACCTTTCCAGGAGCTCTGGAGGATTTTCTGTTCTGCATCTAAGCATCCTTCCTCTCATAACTCTCGGCTGCTGGGAAAATCTGGTGACTGCTGTGGTCAGCCCTGGAGGCAGAAGTGAGCACAGCCGGCATCTGCCTGCCTGCAAGCCTTGTCTCTGCTCTGCTGTCCACAGCCCAAGCACCGGCTGACAGCCCCTGCCAACAGTCACCTGCACCGCAGGAGGCCAAGGCCAGGCTGGCTGGCTTCTGGGGCCTGGGGTCTCATTCTCACACAAAGCTGCCATGCAGGCCTGGCTACTGATAGGCCAAGGAGACTTGATAAAAATGTCCAGCCTTGGACTCTTCTAAGTTTGCCTGGTTTTCCATCCTAGCTTACGTTTACTTTAAAAAGAAAAAAAAGATATATAGTCATTTATTCATGAGCCAGCATTGGAGAGCTGTAAACATGCAATCCTATTTTATAATTATTTACATTTCTCCTTCACTGTGAAGGCTCCAGGAAGGGCAGACTATCTGGGTTAGAAAGCAATCAAGGCCCTGGAAAGCTAACCTTGGTCAGCAGATAAAACTGCAGCAAAATGTGCCCAAAGCTTTAGAGAGGCGTAGCCTCTCGGCTTTCCTGTGACCTGCTCAGTCAGAGGAACCACAGGACACTGACAGTCAGGGAGCCTGGGGCAAATCACACGGGGCCCAGATGAGGGCAATTCTTGCCTCAGCTGCTGTCACCCCTCTGCCCCGTGGGGCCCAGTGTTCCACGCCACTGCTTTCAGAAAACACAGGAGTCCACGTTCAAAATTGGCAGGTCAGTTTGTAAAGCTCACAGGGCACAACAAAAGGGCCTAGGTCACCAGATGGCAAGGGCACTAACACACAGGAATTACCACACCTGTGCTCACACACAGCTCACCGAGGAAGAACTGAATGGAGGGTGATGCGAACTTGCTTCAATGCACTCCTTGCTGATAAAGAAAAAACAAAACAAAACAAAACTCTAGGCTTTTGACTTACATAAAGAATTGAGTTGTATTACCAGTTTGTGTGTTTTCAACGTCTATGGGTGTCTACCAGACTACCCCTAAGTGCAGGAGGTGGAAACTAGAGGCACACTAACCACCAAAGCCAGTCTGGGCAGGGCAAGGCAGCCTAGGCTTCTGATTTCCCCTGGGCAAATGTGAGCAGCAGGAAGGGGTCCAGTGAAATACCCATCACTCACTCCGGCTAAAGGCTTTTAAGCGCCTAAGAGATGGCCACATGTACCCATGATGAGGTTAGAAGAAGCGTGGCAGCGACAGGCAGAAGCAATCAACTGTGTCCCTGCAGATGGTCAGACGGCTGACCGGAGCAGAAACGGCTCATAATCAATGCACTTGGAACGGTGAGGCCCGGAGCCTTGTGAACACTGCAGCTAAAGACAGGCTCCGCATGCTTGGGCGGGCCGCCTGCATGTGCACACTTGCTTCTTGGCAACCAAGAACCAGAGGCATGGCAAGTGAGGAAGAAAGGGCTCAAGACCCCAGAGCAGCAACACATAAAACCGAAGCGTCCTTATATGAACTGATATGAAAAGGAACGGGAAAGTTTGACCATCTCTGCAGGGAAGGGTCCCCGCTCCAACATCAGGTGATCGCTAAGCTGGACACAGGAGTCAGACTTGGGGGCTGCCCGCGTGGCGTGTGCCATACATAGTACAGTGCCCAGTTTGGGCTTCCTCCCCCAAGGGCCAGCCCCTGTCCACATACCTCCTAAGAGGCTGGCCCCACCCAACTCTGGAGCACTTCGTTCCCCTGGCTAGGGGAGCTCACAAAACCAGAGATCTGGCTCAGGAGCATGAGGCTGGGAGGTCATACGCCTAGAGCCATGACAGGATGGAAAGGGCCCACAGGGACAGATCTCATCCAGCCATCTGGACCAACTCTGCCTAGAACTCAGGGCACCTTCTGCTGTATGAGTAACACATTCCTTCTTCGACTCAAAGTGGTCTGAGAAGGGTGTCTATCGCTCACACTTGAAAAACAGCTCTCATTAATGTAATGCTCTTTCTCCCCAGTAAAGCCTGCCTGTTTACAGTACCCCTTACCAGCGAAGCTCAGAGCTCCTGGGCAGCATGTGTGAATACCCAACCAGCTTATTTTCGCAATTGTTAATTTCATGAGGTTTCTAAGAACGCCCGGGGAGGATCTAGGGGAGGAATGATAGGAAGGTGACCTGCCTCTCTCTCTCTCTCTCTCTGAGCCCTGGGACCAGGTACCCTTTGCATAGTGGGAAGTAAGACATAATCCCAGGACAGACCCTCAATTCAGCTGAGGCTCCTCCAAGAGCAGACATACCTTCAAGGAAGACTTCACCTCTTAGCAACCTTCTAGGGCCCAAGATTCCCAATTGACTACTTCTTCTCCATTAATGGAAATTAGGGCCAAGCAAAAACTAGTTTTCCATTCAGGAAAGGCATCATGGCCAGCCCAAGGCTCTGGGGTGAACTAAAAGCATACACCAGGCAGGTTGTATTGTTTTTCAATGGGCATACAGCAACTCAACTTGCTTTGATATTCTCATAGCACAAATCAGATGTGGCAGAGATTTTGCAGGGAGTAATGAGCTGGGCCTGGCTCTTACCTGCTCTGTCCCCAGCCAGAGTCCCCCTCTTATCCACTCCAGGTTTGACTCTGTCCTCTGCTAGGGGTGACACCCACTGTTACAATATTTCACTGACAACTGTGCCCTCTTCACTGGCCAGGGCAGTGTCCAAAGCGTCATCATACATGTAATTGATTTGTGATCGCAACTCTGTGGATGAAGTGGGTATCATGCCCCTTTTACACGGTTTAGTGGGAAAGGCACAGGTTTGCAACCAGACCTGGCTGGTTCTGTCTCTACCACCGACAGCCCCGAGTGCAACCACCTCTCTCAAGAGCGATGCATGGCATCCACTTAGAGACTGGGAGCAGAGGTCACTCAGCCCTGTGCCTGACCAGCAGCAGTACAGATCCATGACGACGGGGCTACCGTCACCATCGTTACTAATGAGAACCCTGGTCTCCACAGACCTTCCACCTTAGGTTGCTGAGGTCTGGCTCCCTCTCTGGCAGTCCTCATTGTCTATGAAAGCTGCCAGAAGGAAGGGCACCACCTCAGCCAACCATCAGTGTCCACGCAGAGGCAGGGAGGGATCCAATCAGCAGAAAGAGCCAATGGGCTAAGGACTAACTGGCTTTTATGCCCTACTCTGCATACACACCCTCTAAACACACCATGACCTCTATGCTGGGTTGGTTGTCTTACAGTTGACATCTTGGTAAAGAAAAACTGTTCTGGGGTTCCATGCTGCTCTCAGAACACAGATGCTGGTTTTCAAGACCAAACCCAAGACTCCAGAAAGTGAGTTCCTTGAAGCAACGGTGCCGATGAGTCAAGACCCTTAGCATCCAAACCTCGAACCTGCACCCTCTACCTCTAACTTCTCTGGAAGCCTAGCACCTAACTCCCAAGATCAAAGGAGATATGGGCCACGTTCTTAAACTACATCCAGGATACAGAAACACAGGGGACCTCAAGCAAGCCCATCTTTTCCCTTCTCCTCTCTTCTCTTCGGCTCTATAGTCCTCACTCAGCCATGCCCAAGGGCTGTTCTCTCCTGGTCACAAAGTCACAGGGATTCCACAAAGGCCACAGGGACCTTCCATCACTGACTTCATCGAGACAGACTCAGCATAGTCTCACCTGTAGGTGGCCACCTCCAAGCTGAGGCCAGTCTTCACCTGCACAAGCTCCTGGTACTCCCGCAGCCGGTCAGCCATGGCCAAGGTGAGGGCTTCCTTTTCGTCCTCCAGGCTGTCAATCACTCTCTGAAGAGAACAAAGAACTTTTAGATCTATACCCCAGAGGTTCGTAGAGCCAACTAAAGAAACCAACAGTGCAGGGCATAAAAGGAGCTGTAACCTGCATATGAATAGTTTCATATAACGAATCTCTTGAAGAGGGAAGGTTCTCTCTTTATTGCATATGGAGGATGTTGATAGGATAGGTGCTTTTATGTTTGGACTTCCCGACAAAATGAAGGCTTAGTTTAGTAAAATCACTTCTGCTTCAGATATCAGGCCACATAGGAGACCCAAATATATCCAACCAAGCAAGTAAGGCACTACTTAAAAATTAGCCACAACTAGAAATCTTTTTATAATACTTAAAACAGAAATCACTCTCACGTGAACTAAAATGTCTCCTAAAGTCATCCCTGTCCCAATAAAGGCAGATAAGTTGATAGAAATATCTTTATTTTTACCTAGAAATGATACTTTAAAATAATCTGAGGAGAAATACACTCTGGGCATAAATGAACAAACTCAGACCCACACATAAGTCTTCCTTTTGGAATGGAGTTGATAAGTTGACAGACTCCCAAATGGCTGATTTTCTTCAGTAGATCTGCCTTTTCACAAGCTGGGAGCCACTGACACCCCTGTAATCAGGCCCCTGCCAGAGACCAGCACAGACCAGTCACACAGTACACACCGGGTAAACTGAATTTAAGATTAAACGATCGAGATGACATCACCCTCTTCAAAAAGTCCATTTCAAGCCAGTACTATCTTCTAATCAATGCACACTTTACAATTTTGTGTTTTCTTCTTCACTGTTGATCAGTCACTCTGGGAAATAATTAACCAGACAAATATTTAAACACTAAGGTAAGTATTCTTGTAACTTCTGTAATGGGAAGTAGCGCTATGTGTGAATGCAATTAACCAAACTTGGGCACATATATCAACACAACCTTTGTAGAATTCAAAACTATACGAATGTTGGGAAAGGGAAATATGTTTTCAATATTGCTAGAGATCCCCACCCAAAGGTCAGCAGAGGGTACGTACTGTCTACAAACACGAGGACTAAACTTGACAGAGTTCTCACCCTGGAGTCCTTGCTTGTATTATTTTATTTTATTTGGGGCAGGGTCTTTCTATGTCACCCTGGCTGTCCTAGAGCTCACTCTGTAGATCAGCCTGACCTCAAATTCACAGAGATCCCCCTGCTTCTGACTCCCACGTGCTGGGATTAAAGGTGTATACCATGTCCAGCTGCATTATTCTCAAAAGATGACTGTCACGTAGAGAAATCTGCTTTTGTAGCATTTCCATTTATAAGCTGACGACTGTTAAGTTTTTTGTATACAACTGGTACCAAAAATCTTTAATTTTCTTAAGGATTTATTTTATTTTAAAGTGTGTGTGTGTGTGTGTGTGTGTGTGTGTGTGTGTGTGTGTGTGTGTTCCTGTGTGTTCCTGCGTGTGCATGTTGTACGTTTTTAAGAGAGGGTCTCACTGTAACCCAGGGCAGCCTGTAACTCACAATTCTCTACCTCTAGAGTATTGGCATTACAGATGTGTGCCACCATGCCTGGCTTGATAGCTTTTCTAATATAAGAACTTTGACCTAAGTACTAGAACTTGAGGATTTATCAACTATCCTTTGCAAAGAAGTTTAAGTGCTGCTAAACCACTTAGGGAAAAAAAATCAGATGAACTCAGTTCTCCACTCACAGCTCAAAACTACAGTCATGCCACAGCCCTGTCCACGAATATGCTGTCCCCTCCCTCAGAATAAAGGCTGGTTCTCTGTCCCCACCCCACAAACTATGAACAGCAAAGTAAAGCGGCTCTGAAGTTGAAATAGATTTAGTTCCAAGCAAATTTCCATGTGAGTCAACTCTTCCCAAATGGTGAAAGGAAAAGCCGCTGACTTTTGGAGGCAGGAATGAAATCACAACCAATCCTGCCAGTGGGAGGAAGTCTCAGACTCCAGCTCTTCTCTGCTCTGCCAAAACTTTTCCTGCCTGTGGGCCGGGCCAGGAGTGCTGGAGCCTCCCACACAGGGTGATACTTCCAGCCCGCACAGAAGCATTTTTATCCGAGGCTCCGAACACCCAGGGGAGAGCGCAGTCTTTTAGCCGCTCTGCAGAGAACTTTCCAACAACAGCATCCGCAAGGCTGAGCTCTAGTTCCACGTCAGGGACGGGGCCCTGCTGCTCTCTTTTCATCATGCTTGAGCCTGCCCTGGCTGAACACAGCAGACAGGATGGCCAGAGCTTGCTCATGTCCTTGTTGCCTGGGATCTTAAATGTTGGCGCCTAAGGGGACTTGAATACTAGGATAGTTCATTCACACTCAAAACTAAATAAATTAATAAGAAGCATGAATTGAGCCAGGTGTGGAGGCACATGCCTTTAATCTCAGCACTTGGAAGGCAGAAGCGGGAGGATCTTTGTGAGTTCAAGGCCAGATTGGTCTACACAGTGAGTTCTAGGATGGCCAGAACTACATAAGGGGATCTTGTCTCAAGAGGAGGAGGAGGAGGAAGAAGAGGAGCAGCGGCAGCATGACTCAGGTGCTATTATGCGTTTATAGCTGTACCAGGCAGCACCCTCAACTCCAGGCCTATCTCACAGTGCCAGGCGGGCATGGCAGAGGCATCTCAAACTGCAGCCTGTGTGTGCACTGAACTCAGACCTCTGACCTTTGCCTGCCCTTCTGCATAGATCTCCTTCAGCAAGGAACGCCCTTCTTCTGGTTCCTCTTCCACAGACCTGGGGTCAACCTTGGTTTCCCACCTCTCTCTTACTATATCCAAACCTGTCAGCAAGCCTTGACAGCTTGACCTTGAAAGTAGGACCCTTCCTCAGGGCAGCGCTGCTGCTCCCGGTCCAAGCACCCTGCTGTCTCGGGTGCTGCAAGCTTGTCTTCACGAGGTGCCCTGTCCCCACACTGACCCAGCACAGACTGCACTCAATGCAGCAAAGGATGACCCGTTAAGACACTCACTCTGCTCAGGACTCCCTGGGGCCTTTCAGTGGCACTCAGATTTAAAAAGAGGCATCTGAGCAGCTGCTCCATATCTGCTTCACTCACGGTCCCAGCCACGCCGGTTTCCTGACTTCTCCGTGAGTGGCATGCCTTGGTGCCACCTCAAGACATTTGCCATCAGGGCATGTCCTCTTCTGTTATTTTTCACTGCTTTATCCCCTGGCCTCACAACTAATGAGCCTGGCACCCTGAGTGCTCGACAACTATTCACTGAAGAAAGTAATTAAATTCATTTAACCAATAGCAACCTGTACGCTGCTTTTCATTTTCACGGATGAGGAAACCGGACCGCATAAGGGTTAATGAGCTTACTCTTGAGGAAATCTTATAATCTGAGATAGGGTGAGAGTCAGAATTCAGCCCGAAACAGGAAGGCTACAAGAAGGCTGAACCTTAACTGCATGGCTAATCCTGCCTGCATTCTTATGAAAAGAAATGTCTCATTCATATTTTGGAGTCATCTGCAAACAACTGGAACTGGCCGTTAGGAGCTCCCATCATAGGGAGAGCATCAGCGTGTCTGGGGTAGGGCTGGAGTAAGTGACAATGTTGTCAAGGCCCTTCTGAGGCCCCTTATAGGTCTTCCAACATTGCGTGCCTCCAGGATACAGGAAAAAAGCAAGTGAAAGAAATAATGCTAAAATCATACAGCAGGGCGAGGGTCTGATAACATCCTAAGGTTCTAAGACAGCAGGCCACCTCTGGGCTGGCTCTGAGAAAGAGCCATTATGTCACTGACGCAGAGTTAAAGGGTTAGCTCGGATAAAACAGAAGAGAGAAATGTGGTTCAGTGGTGAGCTGCTCACGTCAGTCTAGATGGAACTCTGGGCCGCTTACTGAGTAGTGGCTCACCATCAATTTCACCGTCTGTAAAACAGGGCTCAGGTTAGTCTCCACCTCCTGAGATTGCTGTGTGGACTAAGAGGGAAGACACCGACCAGATCTGACACTCCCGGAAGCTAACTGTTGGTAAGGCAACGTGTTTCTCAGGAAGTCAGCTACGCCTGTCTTAATCTTTTCAGTCTCTCCAGAGTGAGCTTCTAAAGGATTGTAAAAACGTAGAAGCTTGGGGTTGAAACAAGATTTCCTCTTTAACATAATTCTGAACACTTTATGATTTGTGATAAATCATTCAGAATGGGATCTAAAACGCAGTTTCTTTTAAGCTAACTGAGAAAGTGGTCATAATATAGTTAAGATTGCAGCTGGTAACATTTAGTAAAAACAAAACCTAAACAAATTGAGACTGAAGAAAAAAAAATCAAGGTCCTCATTGACACTGTCCTGGCTTTCACTTCCAGGGGGGAAAATGCCAAATCGGAAACAGAGAGATCCCAGGGTAGGGAGCTGAGGGTGGGGTCCTATTTAAGTCAGGAGTGACGTCAGTGTGACTTCACTAGGGTTGGAGTCCTTGTGGAAGGGCTGGACAGTGATTCTATTTGTGTTTCCAAGTCCCGGTCTTTCCTCCATTCGGGGAACTCTGCTTCTATCTGCCTCAGATTTGAAGTTCCACTGAAGATCTTATTAGGGAGAAAAGATTTTGCTGCTAAAAAACACGCTGAAACCAGAGTCAAGGTTCCAAAGTATGCCAAGTAGGGTAGGAGAGGGAGGAGCCCAGAAGTCTACAATCCCAAAGAGGGGATTCCCATCAGATTGCTTCCTTATCACTTTCCATCATCTCCAGCTCAGTCTCCAGCTCTCTGGCTATCAAAACACTAGCCCAGCCCTAGGGACCCAGAGGAAACCAAGAGACTCGAGGTTACCTCACACCTGTCACATCACCCCAGTCATCCATCCCACACATCTCACTGTGATTTGTCAGGACATACAACATCACAGCCATCTCCAACCCTCGGCTCCCGGCTGCAAACTCGTCTTTTAAAATCTTCCTGAAGTTGCGCTCATGTTATTTCAAACCAAATTCCTGAGAGCTACTAATAGTACGATTGAGGAGTACATCCAATTCTGGCTGGGGCGGGGCGGGGCGGGAGCCAAGCACTAGGGCTGAACTGAGTGTACAGACAATAAATCAGCCACAGGTATACCCAGGCGGTGTCAGAGGGTTAGCGCTCAGCTGCGTCGAAATGGGGACCGTTTATATTAGTCTGGAGTTGTAATAACATCTCACCACGGGGACTGGCTTTCTCCTAGTTTTTACACAACCCAGAGATCTGCCGTCAGCTCATACTGTGAGCAAAACAGCTCTGACCTTTTTTCTGTATGACAATGACTTAGTCCTCTCAAGGGAACAAACAAAACCCAGAAAAATATGACAGCCTGCCCGCCCAGAGAGCTATGGACAGCTGCCTCCAGCTGGGAAATAATTCTGGTAAAATTAAAGAGGCACTTGGAGTCCCAGAAGCGTGGGCGGCCTCCAGGTAAGGACTTGGCACTGCCTGGGAACCTCCCAGTACGCTACCTAGCCGAGTCTGAAATCTGGGCTGAGTTTTGGATTTCAGGCTACTCGATCCAGCAAGCCCAGGAAACAAGAAAGAAAAGAAAAAGACAGAGCTAGCAAAATCATTAGTCAGGATGTGCCTAGACACGTCTGTATCTAAAAGTGACACTCAAACAAGATGATGGGCACCTGGCTATCCACCGGGACCTGTCACATGACATCAGCCCTCTGACTGAAGGATCATTGCACCAAACCCTTATTCTTAGGCTAGCTACATGCCAGAATCCTGTGGTCTTATAAATAGCAAAGCGGCTGGCAGTGTACGCTTCCCTGGGTGGGGTTGAACCGCCTGCGGGACCAGGGAACCCCACCGCTCGCCCACTGGGTGCGCGCGGGGGGTGGGGTGTCTGGACAAGGTTATAGGGAAGGGGCGCGGTCCCTGCCCACGGACCTGCCGCTCCTCGGCCTGTATCCCGTACTCCTCCTGCATCCGCAGCAGCTCATCCTCCAGCCGCGCGCGCAGCTGCTCCAACTCCAGCGCCTGGTTCCGCAGCGCGTCCGCCTCCTGCGCGCACAGCCGCGCCTCGTCCTCCGCCTGGCGCCGGCTCTCCTGGCCGCGGAGCAGCGCCTGCTCCAGCTCGCGCACCTCGTCCTCGTACAGCTGCACGCTCTCCCGCCACGACTCGGCCACCAGGAGCGCGTAGCTGTCGTGCACGTCCCGCAGGCGCGGCGGGGGCGCGGCGGGGCCGGGGACGCGGGCTCGGAAGTGCATGGTGAGGCTGGCGGCGCGGGCGCGGAGCTCCCGCACTTGGCGCTCGTGGGCCGCGTCCAGGTCGCGGCGCTCGGCCTCTAGCTGGCCCAGCAGCGCTTCGAGGGCGGCGCGGGCTCCCAGCGCCTCCTCCAGCTCCCGCCGCAGCGCGCCCAGCTCGGCGTCCAGGCGGCTGCGGGCAGAGCTGGCTTCGGCGCCCTCCCGCTGCAGTTCCCGGAGCTCCCTCCGCAGCGCGTCGCGCTCGCCCTCGGCCAGCGCTGTGGACCAGCTCAGTTCGTCCAGCTGCTGCCGCAGGCTGCGCGCCTCCTCGGCGAAGCGCGCCTGGTCCTCGATCCAGAGGTCCTCCCGGCTCAACCGGCTGCGCAGCTCCTCCTCCAGCAGCAGGTTCTCGCGCTCCAGCTCCCGCACCCGACACACGTAGTCATAAAGCCGAGCATTGAGCTCCTGGAGCTCGGCCTTTTCCGAGCCCGTCTGCAGCCGCCAGGACAGCATTTTGCTGGATGTGCGGGGCTCTTTCGATTTACCGCTTGCCTCCTGCCCTGATCTTGTCCCCTCCGCCCCGCCGCGCCGCGCCCGCCTTGCCGCTACCTCGGAGGCCCTCAGACTGGCGCTCCGACTGGCGAGCTTCGCCACTTAGCGGCCAGGTCGTGCGGCCGTGGACGAGGGCCGCCGCCTCCAGCCAATCAGAACGCGGCCCGCGCGGCCACTGCGGCCGGACAGCGCCCCCTGCCGGGAAGATCGCGGCAATGGCGAGACTGCCCAGCTCTGACCCCTGGTGGCCCAGGGTAATCCGCGTGGGTTGTCAGATTGCTGCGGGCGGGCTATCTGGGACATTTTAAAGGACTCTCTTGGTGTTACCCCTCGGGCACACCTAAGGCACACCAAAGTCCCAGATTTCTTTAATGAAAAATAAGTTGCCATTAAGTGAGACATGCCAAGTACCGGTGAAGGGCCTTAACAGATAGGATGCGTCTCATTGGTGGAACTGGAGATGGGGTGGGGGCGTGGTATATTCTCTAGGTTTGTAGCTCAATGATAAAGTGCTTGCCTACCATGTACCGGGCCCAGATATCAATACCCACCATCACCTTGTGCATGAATATTGTACATCCACATATACATGTATGCACGTGTATTTTTTTTAGAATAAGATCATTTTAGTGCTTTTAAGATTTTATTTCTATTTCTTATTGTGTATGAGTGTTCTGCCTGCATGTCTGTATGTGCACCACTTCCCTGCCTGGTGCCCACAGAGACTAGAAAAGAGGCAGATCCTCCCGGAACTGGAGTTAAAGGCAGTTGTAAGCCAAAATGTGGGTGCTGCAACTGAACCCACGCCCTCTGCTGCCAGTAAGCCATCTCTTCAGCCCTACATACGTATCTTCTGGCATGAATGCATCTCTATTTTGCCAATATTTTATGTTCAAGTAAGATTTCCTTCCCATGCAGAGTGGGAAACCCTTCTCCCTTCTGACTTACACAGACCACCTTTACGGGACTTTGTGCTCGGCAATACCCGCTTCATTCTGATGGAGGAAGAACCTGGAAAGGCTTCGAAGTGCTTTAAGCACAGAACATTCTAGACACCTACCATCTCTCCAAACTTTTGCAGCTGCCTTATACACACCCCCACTGTGACAGCCAGTTTTCTTTTCTTTCAACAGTGTGCCCTTAAGGAAACACTCAGTTTAATTACCATAGAAACCACAGCTCTCTCTGGTTTTTGCATGCTTGCATTTCATTACATTACGCGGCAGTTATTTAGGTTACAAATGGCAGTAGCCAGAGTCAGTAGCACAAAAGAGTGCAGGAATAAGCCCAGCTGCATGGGGACAGGAGCAGGAAGAGAGGTCTGGAGAAGCCACCCAGTGGCCACAGGGCTCTTCTCAGCAAGGCCACTAGTCGGTGATATTTTCAGGGGCATAGAAGATGGGGTGCTCAAGGTCATTTGAGGAAGCTTCCAGGGCTCTCCTTGTGAAGGACAGGAGTGCGTCTACAAACGACCCCATCTCCCAGGTGCCATTCTGCAAGGGATAGAAATGGATGTGTGAAATGGATGTGCTACCCAGCTCAGAATTCCCCCTCTTTTTCTGCTGAGGCTAAGTGGGCATGGAGGGTGGGAGTATTCAGCACCAAGGCATTGGTGTGGGGAGCCCCTGATCCCTGTTCTTACCTCTTCACCCATTCACATCAGGGACACATCAACACTTGGTCTTTGATAATCATCAGCAGACCTGCCTGCTTCCCCACTCAGCATCCTCTCCTTAGCCACCCCAGGAGGCCACTGCAGACCGCCATAGGGCAGCTATAGGGTCATCTGGACTCAACCGTTCATTCTCTCAGCACTTTGAATGCCCACACTTCCAGTAGTTCTGGCTCGGCAGGGGACCACTCTGCCTGGGAGTGGGGAGCCTTCATACATATCAGTGGGCCCCCTAAGAGATTGCTCCTGGGTTTTTCTTGCCCCGTCCCCCCAGAGTCTTGGATTTTGAAACTCAAAACTTCCTTTCTCATCCACTATAAACCTGTCTCTGAGGAAAAGACTGCTCCTCCAGGGTATAGCTTAGCAGAAGAAAAAAAAGTGTGCCACTGGGAATATTGCAAAACAATATCCCATTGATCATACGTAATCCTCACAGAACTGAGACTCGGAGCCATGGACTAACTTCCCTAAATACATGGCTACAAAATGTGGGAAGAAGCAAGCCTGTTAGAGGTTCGACCAGAGCAGGCAGCTTGAGCAGGCAAGGGCTGCACATTCACAAAGAAAAGAAGTAGGTGGGTGGAGGGGGCAGCTTGCAAAGCTCTGGGTGGGGTGGAGAGGGGCCAGTGACCAACAGAGCGGCGAACCAAGAGCCTTTAGTGTACTAGTGCTGGGGGAGCCTGGAGCTCTGGGAGATGGCCCCCCAGAGGGGGAAAAGCTGCAGAACAAACACTGGGAGGGAGGAGAACACACCCTCTCTCTTCCTGCTGCTCTCCTGCAGGGTCCTCCACTGTAGAAGCCAGAAGCTGGGGAAGTCTGGCAGTGGTATGTCCGATAGGACTCCCTCTGCGGGAGTCTGCCAGCTGTTCCATTTGAACCATGGGTCAACACAGCCCTTGTTGAATATAATTATACAAGTTTATAATTCACAGTACAGCAAAAAGGAAATAAATTCTCCAAGTTTAACAGGTCCCTATCATTCAACTGCATTTACTTATCTCTTCTTGAGGTTCTGTATGGATGCTGTCTGTGAACATCATGTCAGGGTGTTGAATATTTATTTGCACTATAGAAATCAGTCAGTGATTTGTTATCATTGGCTGGGACCTGTTTGTGGGTTGTCTAACCTTAGGAAAGTCTCCTTGGTGCTCATCTGTCAAGAGTGCAGGTCACACTTAGCAGTGTGTTATCTTGTAGCTAGCTATTGAGTTGGAAATGGTATAAAACACTGAAGAACTTTTTTCTAGTGTTTCAAAACTATTATCCAGGTCAGCAAAGAAATTTGGAATGGAGATTCTTCACTATTTTGCCTTTGATAAACAAAAATATTAACAAGAGTTCATGTCTTACTATACCCATTCATCAATTGCAACCATATGCAGAGGGAGTCCTATCGGACATACCATACGTGAATACCGAGTCTTCAAATAGTCACAAGAATATTCTTTAAGAATCAATTGATTATATGAAGTCTATGATAAGGAGTACTGGCTATTTTGTTATTGCTTATAATAAAAATGTGAAAACTGTTTCAACGTTGCTACAATATAAAGAGGTATGCATTTTAATTAATGTCTTACTAAAAAAAATCCCTGTGGCCTTCATTTCTTATTTTCACTCTTTCATTAAATAGAGTAGATAATCTAAGCTGTGTAAATACAGGCATATATATTAGAAAATTAATTCATATATGTATGTATATAATACATATTTATTTAACCATGGAATTAAACAATTTTCACTTTGAATGAAAAAGAGGTCTTGTCTTGGTCACTGTCCTATTGCTATGAAGAGATATCATGACCATTGTTAAAAATGTTAAGTGGGGCTGGTTACTGTGCAGAAAGGTCATGAGGCACAAGCCATGACAAAACCCGGTATCAGAGCTTTATTAGGAGGAGTGTGGGGGTGGGAACAAAAGAACCAGGCCTGGGAAAGGAGCACGTGCAGAGAGCAGAGAAAGGGAAAGAGAGAGAGAGATAGTGGGGGCAGGAGAGAACAGAGAGAGAGAGAGAAGGGGTCTGTGTCTGGCTTTTTAAGGGTTCCCATGAACATGCACAGGCGGGCTTACGGAACTACGCTCCACCACGCATGGGCTCATAGCATGACCACCATCTTGCGCATGTAATCACCAGCGCACACTGACAACAGAAGACGCAAGACCCCTTGCTTAGCTCCTGGACTGTGCATGTGCAGTCATGAAGCTGGAGTAGGGGCAGAATCCTAACAGCCATGCTAACTCGGAAAAAAAAAAAAGGAAAGCTTCTAATTGAGGGCTTGTTTGCAGTTTCGGAGGCTTAGTCCATTATCATGATGGGGAGTGTGGTGGCATACCGGCAGGCATGGTGCTGGAGACGTAGCTGAGAGCTACATCCTGATCCCTAGCAGGCGTGTGTGTGTGTGTGTGTGTGTGTGTGTGTGTGTGTGTGTGTGTGTTTGTGTGTGTGTGTGTGTTTGTGTGTATGTGTGTGTGTGTGAGAGAGAGAGAGACAGACAGACAGACAGACAGACAGACAGACAGACATGGCCTGGCTTGGGCTTTTGAGACCTCAAAGTCCACCCCTACAATGACACACTTCCTCCAAGGAGGATATACCTCCTGATCCTTCCATGACAGCTCATCAATTGGGGACTAATCATGCAAATGTATGAGCCTATGGAGGCCAATCTCATTCAAATTACCACAGATCTCTTTCTAGAACCGCCTAATATAAAACAGATTTCTACCACTGTGTTAAAAATGGCATTTCTTGCTGGACCGTGGTGGTGCATGCCTTTAATCTCAGCACGCAGAAGGCAGAGTCGAGCAGATCTCTAAGTTCAAAGCCAACCTGGTCTCCAGAGCAAGTTTCAGGACAGCCAGGGTGGTTACACAGAGAAACCCTGTCTTGAAACACCCCCCTCCCAAAAAAAAAAAAGGTATTTCTTGGATTTTGTTTGTTGGTGTCCTTGGGGACTGAGCAGGGGGCCGTGTGTGTGTGTGTGTGTGTGTGTGTGTGTGTGTGTGTGTGTGTGTGTGTAATGTTCTTCGGTTTCCCCTCCCCCCTGGCCTGTCCACTTTTATTTCTCAGGCTGGCCTTGAACTCATAACCCCAGCCCTCCAAACTGCAATCCTCCCACCAAGCTCTGCCAAGGACAATGGTTTAAATGTTCTGTTATTGTTGTTTTTAGGCACAATCTTCTTTAAAGGGCAGGCAAACAACTCAAGAACCATCCAGCTAATCCCTTGCCTGTTTTAGTGGAAAAAGACCTCAGTCTCAGCACAGAATTGGAGGAAAACTGGAAGAAGTGTGCTTTCAGTGAAATCTGGAAGTTGTGAAGAGCAGGGAGCGCTCTAGGACAGAGAGAATCAAGAGGGGGCGGGGTTCCCGGATGATGTAGTCAACAACCCCTTTCACAACCTTGGGGGTGGCGGGAGGCTCCCGGGAGAGGAAGCCCAGGGTCCCAGAGCTAGCCTAGAATGGAAAGTCCCGAGGAACAGGAGGGGCCTCTGTGAGGGGCTGGGGAAGTGGGAATATGGGGTCTTTCTCAAGCTAGGAGGAGGAGAAGTCACAAAGCCGGTCCCGTCCTGCCCAGCTGGCAGCACTGGGAATGTTAAAGGATTTTCCCTCTCTCCCCTCCACTCCAGCTCACAGCACAGGCAAGTGCTGAGTCCCAGGCAGAAGGCCAAAAAGGAACGGGCCTCCCTGATTCTTGTACCTTAAGTCTGGCACAGTTCTCAAGGGCACTGGGGAGATCTCAGGGAGACACAAGTGGGGAGAAGATGCTGGATGAGGAGTCAGGGGGGAGCTGGGCTCTCTGGAGAGTAGAAAATCTTGAGGGGTTACTAAGGAAAGTCGATGAAGGCTCAGTCGTGATGGGTTTGGCACAGAGGGCCTGGGGCCTCTTCCTGGGCAGAGCTGCAAGGATACAGGTAAACCCTAGCTACCTGGGCCTGGTGGCTCCTGCCTATGATCCCAGCCCTTGGGAGGCTGAGAGAGGACGATCACTGTGTGTGAACTGAAAATGGGCCTGTGGTACATAGAGAGGTCCAGGTCAGCCCAGGCTGTAGAATGAGACCCTGTCTCCCAAAAAAGCAAAGCCAACCAAAAGCCAGCGACGGTGTGGGCTCCAATACCAGGGCCCTAATCCCTGTTTCCCAGAGGCCCATGGTGACAGCAGGCCAGAGGGAGCCACTCCAACAGAGATGGGGACCCCAGCAGGACCAGAGCCCCCTCTAAGACGGCCTTGGGCAAATCAAAGAAACCCCCTTTTTGAGCCCATTGGTTACAGCCTTGCGGCTGGATAGTTCCTTGATGGCTGAGGCAAAGGTGTCCTAGAAGCTCTGTGTCTGTACCCAAGCCTTAGCAAGCCCAACACACACAGAACTGTAATCCCATCACCCCTTCTGATAGGATCCTGTACACGTGCAGCTTGGGGTCTTGCGTCTTACATCATTGGAGGCACTGACAACTATGTACCCGCCACATGGTCATGCAATCTGCGCCTTAAAAAGCTGTTGGTGGACCCCAACCCGCCACCAGCGCCGATTACCTATCATCACCTTCTCCTGACAGCTTTGTGCAGTGAGCAAGCTGCTTGACTGTCCACGGCAACTCTTAGGGTTAGGGTTTGTTGCCTTGTTAGGGTTTCTATTACTGTGAGGGGACACCATGACCACGGCAACTCTTATAAAGGAAAACATTTAATTGAGGCGGCTTACATTTTCAGAGGTTTTAGTCCATTCTCATCATGGTGGGGAGCATGGCAGCATGCAGGCAGACATGGTGCTGGAGAATTCTACATCTTGATCCAAAGGCAACAGGAAGTGACCTGTCTCACTGGGTGTGACATGAGCGTATATGAGAACTCAAAACTTGCCGACACAGTGACACACTTCCTCCAACAGGACCACACCTACTCCAACAAGGACACACCTCCTAATAGTGCCATGCCCTTTGGGGGCCATTTTCTTTCAAACCACCACACCCCCTTTGTTGTTGATTCTGTTTACTCTTTACTCTTTCGGGGGCCTGCCACCCAGCTCCCAAATAATCACACGGAGTCTTATTATTACTAATGAATGCCCAGCCTTAGCTTGGCTTGCTGCTGGCCAGCTTTTCTTAAATTATCCTGTCCATCCTTTGCCTCTGGGCTTTAATCTCGCTCTATTCTATATACTTTTCTTTACTTCTTACCCCATGGCTTGCTGTGTAGCTGGGTGTCTGGCCGCTGGTGTCCTCTCTCCTTCTCCTTTTCTCCCTCCTCCTGCTTCTCTTTTTCTCCATTTATTCTCTCTGCCTGGCAGCCCCGCCCATCCCTCTCCTGCCTCGATATTGGTCACTCAGCTCTTTATTAGACCAGGTGTTTTAGACAGGCAAAGTAACACAGCTTCACAGAGTTAAACAAATGCAACATAAAAGAATGCAACACCTCTTTGCATCATTAAACAAATATTCCACAGCATAAACAAATGTAGCACATCTTCAACTAATATTCCACAACACCCCTTGTCCCCAGGCTTTATCTTGCTTGATGAAAATAAGGATTCTTAGGGAAGGCTAGTGAATGTCAGCAGAGAGAGGTGACATGGAAACCAAGCAGGCTC